ATAGCGTGGTTACGCTTAGCAAGTCTGTTTTCAAGCAGGCTGCATCATTATGCGGGAGTTTTTTTAACGGCCAAGGCAGTACTGACAACATTAAAATCAAAGTTTTTTTGGATTAATATCTCTGAGACTTCTGTCTCACTCAGAGCGGTTTTGCGATGTGAAGGATAAATTAAATGTCCCTCCTACACAAATAAAACAGGGGATTCACCATACGACCTCACTCTATTGACTATAAAGAGCTTAATATAATAGCAACCAAGTCTCATAAATTAACTTAGAACCTTAAAATTCGTTATAAAACCGCTAAAAGTACTGGACCTTTATAAGTAACAGGAACTTAGTGCTAAGCGTGTTGATATTATTTCATCCTCTTCGAAATTACCATCATTAAATCATTATACGATTCTAGGTGGCTAGTCCCTTCGTAGTAGGATATTCAAAAGGATAATGGATAAATTCCGGCCAATTTTGCCAGGTTGCGTGAATAAGCTTCACGTAGAAAATAGTGCTATGTTCTGGGTACAGATAAAACAGAGGATTTAGACCCCTTAAAGCTGCATCGAATTAAGGAGGCAGTACTCTCGTTCACTTTACAGTTAAACTAATGTGTAAACAACCTGATCCAAATATGTCTTTTAAATGATCTTTAACAAGTCCTTAAAGGAGAAGTCAATTGTCGTGGAGAGTGTTAAGAGAATGGATATGTTAAGCATGAAAACGTGTGATTTTGTCCATTCTTCAGTAAGAGTCCAAGAGCTTTAGTTGACTAATTTATTGTTCCAGAGATAGCACACTCGTCTTCTTTGCAAAAATAAACTGAAATCCTATTTGCCTTCCCTTGGTTACCTTTTTTGTATATTTTTAAGTTGTAGAGAATTAAATATGAGATTTGATTTACTATCCAAAACATCAGTTGCGAAGTGAGCTTTTATTTACACCTTCGTGATTCATTAGATCAAAGTTTTTCGCATTATAAAATGCAATTTTTAAGCCCTCCCTTTTGGTGCAAGTCATATTACTCAGTAATAAAAGTTTGCCAAACGTATTCATGTAATTTATACAGCTACAATAAAGGGGTTCTAGTCTATGTACTAAATGTATCTAGTTTTTTTAAGAATGAAGATTTTTCTAAAAAAAATCTCTCTTCTTGTGACCCCACAACAGTCTTACGTGGTTTAAGAAACAGGACCTGATCAGGATATAAATATTCCGCTTTTGCCGCCACAAGGACAAGTTGTTTAATTATGGCCTTCACCACGATTTATTCAAAAATGTATCAACACAAAAAAGATAGGGTTTTCGGTAGGGATACAAGTAGTTTTTTTAAAACCCAGCCATTTTCGCGAAAGCTCTTGGTTTAGGGACCAATAAAAGTGGAATGTTATTTTTTTAAATGAAGATAAATGAGAACTCCCAGAAGGGCCACGAAGACGATACTGAGAGCCGTCACGCTACCAATGAAAGCCGTTTGACCAAGATCTATCTTCGGAGCAAGGCTCTGGATTTTTCCCGAAGCATCAATAACGTACCCGAGAGCCCAGCTTACAGAAGCGCCTGCAACCTAGAAGGAACGCAAAGGAAACGTTTGATACTCAGAATATATAACAGATCATCAAACGACAGAAGCAAAAATTGTCAAGGTGGTTAAATGAGGGCACGGAAATTGTCCGAAACATTTTCACTACTTGGAGCGTAAGTGTCTTTGCAGAGTCCCTCGAAAACGTTCAGTGCATAATGCAGTGCCGATTTGCTAAACCAAATAAATGAGTAACTTAAAGTTAATTGGATTCTACTATGAGAAGCAGACAGTTCTGGCAAAATGAAAATTCCCGCTGTAAAGGAAACAACCGCCCCGGTATTTTTTGGTGCTGAACTGACCCAATTCTCGCGAATAAACTTCCAGTCTGATTACCTTAAACAATGCCCTCTTCCGTTGGGATTGCAATTATACAGGTATTATTTTGAGCTTCTGTTTCCCGGTGGAGGTAAAGCAGTCATCTTGAGGACAAATGAAGGATACCTAAGGCATAATTCCTAGTTTGGTATCAATGCCCATCGCGGGAAAGTAGCAACTTTGAGACTAGTACCAATATCAAAATGGTTATTCTTATAGGGTTTATTGATTGTTCTGAAAATGTCCGCTTTCAAATGCTTATAAAAAGGTCCAAAGCCGACTACATTGTACGAAACGGAAAAGTTCACTTGCTTTAAGATCTCCTGGATTCCAGCTTTCCAAGACAAAAAACCATAAATTAATGTCCAACTAGGTAACCTTTTTCATAGCATAACTTTTCTTGGTCTCCCTTAAATACTGGACGCAAACAATGAGGTCCGCACTACGCTCCGCAGTTTGATGGACGCAGAGACGCCGGCTTGCATATGTATTAGATGCCAGTCGTAGTCGACTTACGCCGCATCTACCACACTCACCCCCTCACCACTCATATAGATCCGGGGGCGAGAAAGAGTCGAGGTGTCTGGATTGCAAATACCTAAGACTCCAGTCTAACAAACCTTGATATACTGGAAAGTTAACTTGTATTTCGGTAATTATTTTTTATATACAGAGGGCAAATTGGGGACAGACTCTCTGTTTATACGTTTATGAGTGTTTATATTTATTTATGAATGAACTATCTAGAAATGTTCAAAAGTAAGATGGGTTTAACAGAGCTAATTGTTCAATAAAGTTGGTACTTGCCTTTTTTACAAATTCTATTTTTTTCCAGTCTTCGTTTTTCTTGAAACCATATCCATCAAGGAGGGCATCAATGTAAACTCCATCGAAGCAGTATTTTACAATGTTTGCATGCAGAGCCGCTGGATATTTCGGCGATACCTAATAAAAATTTGATAAATTAGCGACTTGTGAAATGATTAAATGCATTGGCGTAAAAAAACACTCTTAAAGGAAGAATTATTAATTGGACGTTAACTAGTGGTAAAAACATCATGCCACGTGTTCATTTGGGTCAGTACCATTACTGTTCATTGCATCCCCTTGTGTAAAGCTGGGAGTGCTTTATATATCAACATGTAAACAGTCCAACGTCGCGAAATTATACATTATTTACTGGTAAGATGAACTTGCTAATGTATAGAAGGTTTGCCTGTGGAGAATATTAGACGATACCAAGCAGGTCACAAAGAGGCACCTTTTTACTGATAACAGTTGCCTGTCAGTTAAGATTTTTATGTTATCTTACCGTCTTCCAATCCATTCCACAGAATTCTTGCACTTTTGCTTTCACTTTATCCCTTGTGAGGCCTATGCCGCCCGATGGGAAAAGGAAGTCGATGACAAAGTAGAAGCCAGCAAAGGCCTAAGGAGAAAATAAAACAAACATTTAACGATTGCTATATAGCCCTCTACAAATTTCGTTTTCTCTTAACAATCTCATATTCCTGTGGCTAAACCAAAATACCTATCGTTAGCACCAGTATATAAATTCCAGAAGCCTCCATAGGCAGGACCTAAGGTCTGCTGCAATGGCCAAATATTTTAGTCAAAAATATTTCGGGGAAAAGTTTTGTAAACTCTCGCTCAAAACGTACATAGAACTTCCCTTGTGGCGGAGGCTGATAGACACCATTGAATGAACAAGGTTCCGTTGTACAGTTTGTAGATCGGAAAAGACGTTGTACGATTGTTTGACACTGCGAATGGTCGCCGGTCCCAACGAACGTTATTGTCTCATCCAGAGCCTTGGTAAATAAAAAAACTACGCTAAGAATAGAAGATTAATATTCTTAACACTAAAGCATCGTAAAATAGTAAGACGTTGTTAATCGAATATTTTTCAGAAGATTTGGGACATGAACTCTTCATGTAAGATAAATAAGCCATAATTTGGTAGTCAGATTAATTGCCTGTGTAATGACTTTAATACCTTGTTTAAAACAGTTAGATGAGATTCACTTTCGAAATACGCTTATGCAATATGCCATCATCCAGAACGTAAAGCACTCCCTTCAAACTGAATAAATACTTCGGTCAAGTTTCAGTTGTTTTCGAAAACATTCAAAAACTTTAAATAATGCAAAACACTTAAAAGAACTTAATCCAACATACTGGGTCTGGAGTTAATTCTTTGCCAAATATCGCTTCCGCGAACTTTGAAGTTACGCAAGGTTCAGTAAATATTTGAGATTTTTTCACGGTCAGTTCATAATTCCTCAGCAAACACGGGTTATTGATCCTGTTCTGAAATGGAAATAACAAAGTGACATTTATATTGTATGCAAATTTCCAATACGTGTCAGGAATAGTTTCGGTTCCGCAGATTGGGAATTAAGTTACATTATCCATTCGTTTACATTTTTCGATAAACCACGAAACATTTTGTCTGAATCATGCAATGAGCAGCATCTTTTCCATAGTTTTAGCAAAGAGCACTTTTAGGAATATTTCAGGTTAAAAGTTTTTTATACATAAATTCATCCTATAAAACTACCTCTACGTACCTCTACGTAGTGTAAAACGGGCGGTTTGCTTTGCAGCCATTGGTAAAAATATTTTCATGCTTAAATATACAGCGAAAGTGTGTGATAACTAACAAAGTAAAAAATATAAAAAAAATAAATGTGAACAATTACAATTGAATGGAAACTTACAGTAGTTTGTTTGCCTATTATTTCAGCCCATATGCGATTTTCGCCAGCACTTTTTCCGTAGCACAAGAAGCTGTAACTATACACGGTATACATGTTTCCAAATAGATGATGCCTTCCTGTATATAATGCCGAGCTGGCGTCTGCGGGAACAAATGTAATCTGCGTGCTGGCACCTCCCAGGTCAAGGGCGCCCATCATTTGATAAGGCGGCTCGGGGCGTTTTCCACTTTCCTATAGAATAGCTGAATTATTTTTTTTATTTCGCCAGATTATTCACCTGTATATTGAGCTACAATATAATTAAGATTAGTGTCTACATTAAAATCATCCTTGCTTTAAGAAGGGTCTTCAAACTTTTAATCACTAATTTTTGGTAGGTTTCACAAGGACTAAAGTTCATGCAATAAATCACGCAAACGTTTGCATTTTTAGCTCAACAGATAAAAGCCCTGCATTACAAATACACGCTCGATGTCATAACTAACAATTGAAAATAAAAGCAGAGCATGCTGATGACGAAGTCGCTAATCGGTATAAAGTAATAAGTTCTGAAACGATTTTTCGCGAAAAAAGTAGACTATTTAGATAAAAGATAACCTTTATCTAAGTAACTATATAATGCGTCTATGGAACCCTTTCAAACAGCCGGAAAATTCGACATGCAGTGAAATATTTCTTTCTAAACCTTTTAGTTTAGGAGCTTAAATTTGATTACATACATCTCCAAGCTTCTTTGACAAATAGTTTACTGTTATCCAGGCAAAGATTCCTTCGTCATTTCCATTGATAATCCTTATATCAGAATAGGGGTTTGAAACAGTAAGCCCCGTGTTTTGTAACTGTCTTCGTAGATCATCAATAATCGCGTCTGCCTTCAGAGGTGACTCCAAACTAAAATTAGTAAAAATAAGCTAAAACTAAACTCCAACCTTACTCTTCAGCACTGCGTTATGCGTAAAGACATGTCAAACATAGTTCAGTCCCTACTAAGTGCATAAAAGAGAGGACAACTAAGGAATAAAGATCGATTTTAAAATTAGGTTCACAGGGTTAGAAGGCTGTCCAGCCACTTACTTTACAAGTCGCATACCAGCAGTCGCTCCTAGGTACAACACCGCAGAACTCTGTTTATAGGTTGGAATATATTTATTCACAAGCTTTGTTAATGTGGGTTTAAGAGTATTGTAAGCCATTTGTGGACTGTCCTTTGAAGCGGAAATTCCTGGCTCTAAATTATATAAAGTTTTGAAACACTGTTAAGTTAGCTATATACAAAAAGGTTACATTTTTCTGAAATACAACTCTACAGTAATCTCGTATACGCAAATAGAAATAGCAGACGTTTCATATTGAGTCCACTGAAATTTACTATTTAAAATATTTAAGAAGTTTACATTTTAAGTAAAATAACTTCATAAAAATATGTTTAGCCTACCAACTTTCTCCATTGTAAGTTCTTCCATATATCCGTTTGACCGAAAAGGCCAATCACGCCAACGCATTACAGAAACTTTTGAGGAGGTAGATCCGGCGTCAATCATGAGAGCATACTAAGCAAACGTTTTGAAAATTATTTAGGTTTGTTGATTAATTTAGGTTTCTGCAATTTTTATGCTTTTGCAGGCACTTAACGAAAAATTTAAAAATTGATGTCTTAATTTACATCAAACGCATTTCAAATTCCGTCTGAGCTGCATTATTTAAATGTATGTATTGTCTGCAAACTGAAAAGTGCCTGAGCGAAGAATTGAACCAGAGCATGCTCGGTCGCACGGGGGGTCATTCTAGTTTTTAACATCACATGTGAGACATTAACATTTTTACCATTAACATTTTCCTTAAACTGATTAATATACGCAGTGAACCTTGGCGATTATAATTTTGTTATATCTCCCGTAAACTTAAGTTTACGGAAGATATCAACTTAATTAAGTTGATATTTCACAGTTTATCGTAAAAAGACAATAAAATATGATAAGGCAACTTACAGCATATCCAACGTTAATTGCGATGACGTACAAAATTACAAGCAAATGTATTACAATCAGGATTAATCCAACAAGTGTACCAATCAGGAGCAGCAATCCTTTTTGTTTCATTATGGCTGAAATTTAGAAGATAACAATAAGAAGAAGACCTTCACTTACAGGAATTATTGCTGATTTACTGGAATTGTGTTATCATAAAAACGGTTGCAGTAATTATGAAGCTGAATATCTCAAATATTTACAGAAGTTATATTAATGTTATACAAGTATAACATGGTATACCAATAGTATACCTGTGGGATACGATGTGGTCCGGCCAGATAATAGGCGATCTAACGTATCCC